CGCTACTAGGTTGGAGGCGATTGCTATTAGGTTGGAGGCCATCGCTACTAGGTTGGAGGCGATTGCTATTAGGTTGGAGGCCATCGCTACTAGGTTGGAGGCGATTGCTATTAGGTTGGAGGCCATCGCTACTAGGTTGGAGGCGATTGCTATTAGGTTGGAGGCCATCGCTACTAGGTTGGAGGCGATTGCTATTAGGTTGGAGGCCATCGCTACTAGGTTGGAGGCCACTATGAGATCTTATGAGTACTTTCTTTCACGAAAGAGTTGTCTCGATTGTCTCGTTTAGTGTCGAGGCCTGGCCCCGGTGGATCAACCACACCTGATGCCACGAAGCTCTACATCGATGCCAGAGAGCAGAGTACTTAAAGGACGATACGCTTATTGCAGACTTGGCTGAAAGCTGCACTTGGGACATCCAACAGTGTATTTCTCAGTGCAGTTTTTGAGGTTGGACCTGGGCGGTGTGTATCATCTCTGTCGGAATGCCAAGGGGTTCAGCAAGAGGTCAGCAAGGTGTTGTTTGTGGTGTCTTTGGATTTTGGATTGTCACAAACATCTTCAAGTGTTTTGTTCCTAGCAGTGTAGCTTTGCCCATTCTCTAGAGGAGCATGATGTAGTACAGGAACCCATTAGTGCCACTGGCAATGAAACGTTTATTTTTTTTCGAAGGGCTGTAGAGTTGGTGATACTGCTTCCAGCACGAGGTATGGACTTGGATGGCTCCAATGCCAAGATGGGGATGGGAGACACTTCCTTCCTAGTTTCTTGCTGCAAGATGCTATTGTGGCTGATGCGAACATCGAGTTTGTCAGCTTTCTCTTTCGATTTCTGCGATTACCGTGTCTTTCTTTGACAAAAATGCGATAGACGAAGCAGCGCCTTCCACATGCTGAAGGTCTATGTCACCACCATGACTGCTATCAATCCTTGGGGAATCCTGTGAGAAACTTAAAGGATGCCGTCAGGCATAGAAGAAGTGAAACAGTATATATTATATATACACTGCGGGAAACAGTATATACTGCAATGGAATCTCAGAGTACGATAGAAGCGGAGAAGCTTCCAGAAAGAGAAACAATACTCTTTGTTTGTGAAGTTTTATCATTCCAAAAGGTTTTGTTGCTTTCTTCGATGTTTCGATCTGCTTCGCCCTTCAGTGTGCTCAATCTTCTGAGGCCAGCTCAAAATCAGACTGTGGCCGTGTAGCCTAGTTGTCGCATATTTTTGCTATTCTCCCTTTGCAGATTATGCACATATCGACAATGTGGACATTTGTGTGGTTTCTGCCCTTGATGGCGGATCGCTAGAGAACTTGGAAGGCATGAAGGTCAAAGATCAGGAGGTGGTCACAACTGTTCTTCACCCTGTTTTGGAAGCAGCCGGAGCAGCTAGGAAACAGAGAAGAAACTCCTTGAATCTTTGATAAGATTGGCATTGTGGTTTGAATGCTGATTACTGTAGTTGATGCAGAGTGCTTTTTTCCGGGCAATCGACAGAATAAATCAATTCTCCTCATTAAGTTTAACCACAATGTATTGAGCAATTGCATGGATCGCCGCGCGTAGGACACCTTGAGTTTCGTGAGGGTTTGCAAAATACACTTGTTGGAACTTGCCTAAAGCTAATATGTTCATGATTGATAGTTGCATGGTTTTGAACTTTCTGTTGAACTCGGCTTCTATTGCCACGCTTCGAATCTACCCTCGGGTCATGACCCTAGTGCCTTCTTTGTACCCTGGTCAAAACCCTGTTTTTGTGATGGTTGAAAAGCAGCCACAAATTGATTCGATGCGCATGAACATTGAAAAGGATCTTGCCAAACAGCGACCAGCTTCTGTGTCGGGCTGATGCAAAGACTCTGTCAGTCACGCAAACATGTGTTGGACGGATGCAGCCCTCTGAAGCGCGAGTGGAATCAAGCTAGCCACCAGACATGAAGATCAATTGCCTTGCTTCCACATTTGGGCAACACCAACTTTATTGCAAAAGTAGCCATTGTCCCACAGATCGCGTCCTTGTTGCCAAGTGGTCGAGCCATTGGCGATGCAGCTACTAGCGACGGCCTCCAAACTACTAGCCATGGCCTAGAACCTAAGAGCGACGGCCTCCAAAGTATTGGTGTGCTTGCCGTGCAAAACTGGGCGAGCAAAAAGGTCGGACCTGAGCATCACTGAACATCAGTCAGGTAGTGCTAATTTAGTTTGTCTATTTCTAACTTGTTACTACTAGTAAGGCACTTGGTCCTAATAGCTTCTTGTTCCTAGTAGTAAGGCACTTGTTACTAGTAGCGATGCACTTGTTAAGGCAAGCACGGGTGTATTCACTATGCACTGCACTTTCCCTGTCCACTGCAAAGCACTTTACCAGCGCAATCCCTGGCCTTGCCTCCAGCTATTGGGTTCCAGACGCTTCTGCGGCTTTGGCGGGACTTTGTGGTACATTCAGTGCCTTCTTTGGTTTTTGCGGGACTTGGCTCTGACTAGATTTGGTGTTTGTTTCTGTAGTTCTCTTCGGCTAACATGGACTGCGTTGCTATATATTATTCCTTTGTTGGCTGTGGGGATTCTTTAGCAGCTGTGGTTTTGAGAGTGTTTTGGTTTTCGTAACTTTTTGGTTCCTGAGATTCAGTCCAAATACTCACAAGGTCCCATAGCCTTGCAGAAAACATCCTACAAGTCCCGCGGTCCGACATTAGTGGGTTACCCTTTAGGCTGGGTGGTGCACGTAGGTGTTTTCATGGTTGCGAAGTTTGGGCCTTTGTTTGTTTTTGGTGTTTTTTTTGTGGCTTGACACCGTGCATTACTTCAAGCAGGGCGAGTAACCGCAATCCATGGCATGAGATGCTCTAATTCTTTTTGCTCTACAACTTTGTCCTCTTTCGGTGGAAGTCATTGCAATTTGGTTGTGTTGTTGGCATTGTTTTTTCGGCCTTTCCCGCCCCTTAAGTGTCGCATGGTGTTTTGCTGATTCCCCCATCCACAGTTTGTTTGCAAGCGCATGATGAGGGTGCAGCTCGATGAAAAATTATCTTGACGGCACAGCTTGCAAACCTCAAGTTGTTTTTCAAGTTTTTGCATTTCATATTTTTTCCACACCATTCAATAGGTTTTCAGGTTTAGGAACATTGGCTTCGTCTACCCCCCCCACACCCCCTAGAGGCCCTAGATAACTCACTTCGTTCGAAGACAAGAAAGGAGGAAAGCTCAGTTTCCGGGAAAATGTAGACACCAAATCTTTAAGGTCGTAGATAAATCCCTGCCTTGTAAC